GAAACCTGTCCTTCAGGTTTGCAGTCTGTTATCATCTGTTTGCATTATGAAGCACTGTATAGTCTTACTGCCGTCTATCCGTGGGACATCCTCGCTGTGAATAAACAGGAAGGCAATACTGTTGGGTCCTCTCGCAAAAACATTTGGTGAAGCAGCTTTTAGCTTTTGGAACACGCTGCCTGAGAATCTGAGAGCAGATGTAAGTAAGGATCTCCAACTGTTACGTTAAAACCCACCTCTTTAGTCAAGCTTCTATTCAGATTGTTTATTCTGTGATTTAATCACATTCTTGTTTTCAAATGTCTTTTGTCCATTTTTTTTTTATTCCACTTTCATTTTTATGGATCATTTTTCTGTGTTTTGTCTGCTTGGTTTTATATTTCACTTTTTTGTTTTCCAAGAGCCCCTCCTTTGTTTTACTGTTTCTATTTGTTCTCCCTTATTGTCACTACGTCACTACTTGGTTGATTATACATTAGAACAGAGGAGCTGCTGCACAATTTGCATCAAACCCCATCGCTTGTTAATCCCATTTAATACCAAACACTGGTATACCACCAAGTAATATGCTCTTACCGGGGTCCTCCTCCTCAGCAAAGGCCACAATGTGGATGCCCTCGATATCATCCTCCTGAGAAATACGAGATTACTGTGAAGCTTGGGGAAAATTACAATTAAATTCATCAGTGTTTCCCTTGCAGATAGGTGGCCATCACTCACCCAGGTCTCAAACATGTCTTCTGCTCGTAGCTTTCTCAGGGTTGGTCTGACGGCACAGAAAACACATTAGATGTTACAATATATGATTGCACAACACACCTCGGAACATCTGGGTAAACACGTTTATTGCAGTGCATACAAATAATAGTGCAGCATTGCTCTTTGTTTACCGTCTGTGTTCAGTTATGAATTCCACCAGCTCCTCCTCAGAGTGAGGTTTGCCTGGGATAGTGACTGGCTCCTCCATGAAGGGCTCATAAAAGTCTACCTCGTTCATTTTCAGAGTCAGCTCTTTGGCCACCTAAAGCAACGAAGACAGATCATTCAAGAAGATCGTCACTTTTCTGTTCAGCATTTTGTGTCTTTGCTTGTTACCTACCGATTTTTCAAACGTGGCAAAGAACTTAATGTAGGGCTGGAACTGCTCTGCAGCTTCTTTAAAGGCTTCATAATCTAGGTATAAAAACAAGAGGAGTAAGAAGGAGTTAAGCATAATACGCTGGTGCTACAATCTTTAAAGAAACATATTTCTAGCGCTCTTGTTTAGAAGCTCACACATCTGTTCATCCTTTCTTCGGCTGTTGTGTACGTGACATTTGCACATCAGGGAACGGAAATAGCTGAACTTTGACCTAAGCTTAATGCTCCCACAGTTTGTCAGACGGGATGTAGCGGCAGCTCATCCTTGCGAGTGAGCTACGCTACACAGCATGTGAGAGGAGAGCAGGCAGTGGCAGCTGTGTGTGCAGCAGCGATAAAAATGGATCTGTAAATCCACGGAGATGAGGGGGTTAAAATACGCTCGTGTTTTAATGAAGGACATGAGCCACAGAGCGCCCATCACATCCAACAAGGCAGTGAGCTGTGTTTAAAACGCACAAATACATTTGACAACATACACACTCACGCTCAGAGTCTTCACTCTTGAAGTAGCCAATGAGACGGATGTCTTCCTCCATCCTGTCGAAGGCTCTAAGTTCTGCAGCATTTCCTACCACCTCCACGGGCTCCTCCAACACCTACAGACAGAATGCACCGTGAGCTTATGAGTTTGGTAGGACTGGTGGTTTAGTGCTAGCAGCTGGGAATCTGCCCTTAGAGTCCACTCACATCCAACAGGAACTCCACCAGGGTGTTAGCAGAGAGCAAGCCATCAAACTCGATCACCCTGTCGGCCTTAAAAACATACACACTTCCCTCCTCCTCCAAGCCTGTGAGCAAAGGAAATTATATGAAATTACATACATTAAAGTTATCTATATAAATGATTCTGATCAAAAGCAAACTTCTTTAACGTTTGCCTGCAGGAATTAAATCAGAGATAGATAACAAGAAGGTGAAGATGACGAGTTCCTTTTCAAAAACAGGTAAGTACATTTTCAGAAAACATTTTTTTTTGTTAGATAATATCAATCAAACTGAAGCTGAGTGGACTCATGACAAAAATAGAGACAACATGAGTTTGATTGATATTGTCTCAGGTAGACGATGGAAAAGTGGGTTTTCTGAAGGTTTGTGAAGATGGAGTTATCTGTTCTTGCAAATGAACTCTTCATATATATGTACACTCACCAAGTTTCTTTGCCACTTTTGCGTCTTTGTGCGAGTCAACCATTCCAAATCCAATGTCCTTCTCTTCCATAACCTGAGCAGCAAGCTGCAGCCAAGACAGAGATACCATAAAGGAAGTGAGAATAGGACTGAACACATAACATGTAAAGACACAAGACAAAAAATAAAATAATTCATTTTGGGTTCTGAGTTCTGGAAACAGAAATGCCAGTTCAGTTGATATATTAAATGAAGCTGAGATTGTAAAGGGGAACTTGACAGCAGCACCAAAGTTGGCCATACACCAGAGGTGCTCGAGCTGCCAGCAGGCCAAAGAGATACAGTTACATAATCACTCGGACTGCCCTGTTCTAAATATAACCAAAGTAAGTTTATATATATATATATAATTAGTCTGGCAATTGTTCTGTGAAGTACAGTAGATGAGCTCAGGTGATATTTGGACTCTACTAATACAATAAATTAAGCAATCTAATAAAGTTAAAGGCATCCTGTGGAATTTGGGACCACTAGTAGTGCAATGGAGCAAAGAATTTATAAGTCGATCCTCGTTTTATTTAGCACACAAGGACGCTCTTGCACACGTGTACATGCAGGCAGAACAATTTATACACTGCCTTCAGTTTTACACAACCTTCGGTTTTTTGCTAATTACTGATTATTAAAACATTGTCAGCAAACAAAACTCCCAGCAGGCCAATGCAAGTGTGAATGATGCAACATTTAAATCATGTTTTTGCTTTATTTCACAAGAAAACTCCAGAGAGTACCAGTAACGCTTTCTGGAGTTTTAAAATTGCTATTTTATTATTTATGTACAATGACAATAAAGCTTCTTCTTCTCGTGGAAGAATATTTAGGATTTTGTTTTTACTTAAGTGAAAGTATAAATACCACAATAAAATTGGGCTCTCAAAAAAAGTCTATATTAGCATCGAAGTACACCTAAAATATAAAACATTAAGAGCATGCATTGCTCAAAATGGACCCATTTCAAGTATTTTAATTCACATTTTGATTGTTTCTGATTCATTAACCTGTTGCTTGGGATTCCTTTTATTTACTGTTGTATATGCAGTCTTGATCTGAAGAGTTGCTTGTTTCTCTCTTGTCTCTAGAGATTCCATTTGGGTGTCAGACAAATATAGTTGAACTGTATTGTAGCAACAGTAGAAAGTATCATGAAATATTCATTCATTCTTTATTTCGAACACATTAAAAGAGAAGAAAATAACAATATATCTAAATAAAAAATAATAAGACTTCCTGTGAGTGACAGACAAAATACATAATACATACATACCCAGACCTATACATGCACATATTTACATATAATCATGTACCTACATACACACCCACATACATTCTGTTGCTACTCCATGAATAGTTGAATCTAAATAAATGATGTGTCCAAAAGGGAGCAGCAGGAAGCCAAAGCTTATTAATTCCCACCCGTTACTCCACTGCTCATATTTAACCCAAACACCTATTTAAATATAAAGTGTATAAAAATATAGAAGTGTTTTTCCACCAGATAACTAAGAGGACATGAAAACTGCATAAACACCTGCAAAATGTAGATACTGTGAACAAATTAGCTGAAATTATACATTCTGTTTAACTTGTCTGCCCAGCAGTCTGTGATTACAGATTCACTGTATGTGGTTTCATGGCTGCCAGACTTTAGCAGCGTGACCCACCTGTGTCGTGTAAAATAAGTGAAGCTAATATCAGGACTGCACGTCGGGCATCAGATTACCTTTAACAGTTCAAAGAGCAACGTGCCCTCAGCCATGTGTAATATGAGACAGGCCACTGTGCACAGTTTCCTACTATATGGGATTCAAAGAGGTTAATTTAACGTATCATTTAGACATGCTTCCAGCTGCTTAGTTCGGCCTGAAAAGCAATATATACCTTTAAATCTGTGTTTGCTTTGACAAGTCCACCAAAGAGGAGAAGGTAGTCGTGCCCTTCAGGCGTGTAGCTCAAAAAATAAAACAATACACATGAGCTCTTGGCCTATTTCTGCCAGCAGAGGAGAGCCAAGGGGAGAGTAAGCCTCATGCATTTCTATGGGATGGAAGTGCACATTGAATTAATCTGAAATAACCTTAAGTGACAGCGTTGCATCTCACTGGACTACTGTGCACTCATAAACACACTGACCTTGAGGAAACACATACAGTTTCAGGTCTCACCAGTTGGTTATTGGAGCACTAGCATGGAGTCTTTTATATGAATGGCAGGAGTGTCCTTTCTCTCACACTGCTGGCAGCAAATCAAATCATGTCATTGTACACGTTTCCTGATCATTTTCCCTCTGTCATTTTCTCCTAATCTGGCCTTCTGCTCACTTCATCCATCCTCCTCATACTTTACCTCCAGCACCAGCTCAGTCATCTGGTGTTGTTTTTGCAGTTCCTTGCTCTCCGGTATGGGCTCGTGGTAGAACAGGCAAAGCATGCTGTGCTTCTTTAAGGCTTTCTTGTAGTTCTTGTCATTGATATCAAGAACGCGGTCTTTCCCGTCATAGTGTGGGAACTCCAGGCCCTTCTCGGCCGGGACCGGAGGCACAAGGCTCAGGCAAGGGAGCAGGAACAACCACAGGGAGAGCATGATCCGGAGCTACCACACACCCCCGACAGTGTGATTTGGTTTCACAGTATGAAACTGCACAAGCTGAAAGGTCCCCCGATGGCCTGTGAAATGATGGGGGAAATGTAAGAAATGCTGCAGGAAAATTTTGAAGTTAAAAAAAAAAAAAGCAGTCCGTCAGTGGCAGTTCTCAGGTATTCCCAGTTGTCCAAAGAAATCCAAAGTATCCTCAGGACTTAGTAACTCTTTCTCCCGCTGTGATTACTCCTTCACGCCTCCTCTCTGCAGACACAAAGGCCAAAGAGAAGCAGTGTCAGGCCTGTGAGGTACTCGGAGGGGTGGATACCATACATAGCAGCCCTTCTCCTTCCCTACACATGCAGGATAGGCCCATTTTTAGGAGACCAGTTGTTTGAATGCTAAAAATAAAACGGCAAGTGAGAACGGGAGATAGCGGAGGATGACAGTGGGGGGGTTTAATAATGAGTTACAGCACTTGCTCTCCGTGATGTCTCTGTGAGGGACTCGGGGATGTGGGAGGAGAGAGCTGAGCTGCAGAGATTTGGGGCTTCGGTTATTTTGAGGCGTTTAAGTCTGTGAGGAACCAAAAACAGTGGACGTGGTGTTTGGTGATAGAGTAGACAATTTATTTTAAGTGCCAGCTCATGGAACAATCTGCCAACAGGTGTGCAGAGGGCGATTCAAACAACCTGTGTGTAGTGTTGGGTCTCCCACTGGGTTCAAGTCATGAGCTATCTGACAGTGGTTTGTGTATCAGTGTAACTTCTGCTTTGATTAGAACAAGGGTTGCTTTGTCTTGTTGGTTTCTCATGACTGAATTTGCATTATTAGTGTCCCCTGTTTTGCTCTTTTCAAGCCTACACACTACCTCAAAGATTTTCCACATTAACGTCATTCTAAATGCCACCATGAACTCTTTCTACGCTGCTGACAAAACAGCAGCAGCTGCACCTCTATTTTCGCCGCTTCCTCTTTAGCCTTTTTCATCTCTGCTCTTGTCTCAAGTACAACAGTTGTCTAGGAACTTGGGATAAATCTTCTGCTGCCCTCTGCAGGAAGAAATATATACATGAGCTGCTGAAGCATGAGAATCACAGTGGTACAACTCCTCAATGTGTAAAATATTCATGCAGTGAAGAACCTTTTGGTACACCATAACAGTGACATTACGTTAAAAAATAAAGTATAAGTTGATTCATTTGCATCAAGTGGCTCTTATTGGAATTATCTAGCATCTTTTGTATCAACTTTACCTGCCATAAATTATATTCCTATATGACTAAAACTGCCTTCTGCTTTATGTGACTCCTTTACAGAAGTGTGACAGTGACAAATTAAAGGAAAACTCAACTTTAAGTGTCTTTGGTGTTGCCTTAGTTTGGTGCAACTTGCCACCGATTCTCTGAGTCTCAGGAACTCTGCTGGAGGGACAAAACAGTCATCCAAAAGATGTCCCTTTATGTGGTGTGTTGACGATGATAGAGCGCTGTCGGTCCAAATTCTCCTGCAGATGTTCAACTGGGATTAGATCTAATGACTGCAAAACTGATAGCATATGATTGAGATCATTTTTAGATTCATAAAACCATTCAGTGACCTCTCCTGCCTTATGAGGTCATGGTTTAATGTCTTCTGTACATGCAGTGTTGCTCTTGTGTGTATTTACACAGCTTTGAAGAATCAAGAAAAAAATGATTGAGTTTAAGCAGAATTTTTATAACTTGCATTTTCAAAGAATTGCAACATTTTATTTTTACATTTCGATGATTATCAAAGGTTTTTTAAAAAAAAAAATATGTATAATTAAAATCAACTCACTAACATGTTTGGACCATGATGTGTTGGAGTCATGAGTTCAATTGTTTGTTGGAGGAAATCAGAAACGTAACAATTCATTAAGGATGTACATGCATTGGAAAATATTAATGATAGAGCTAAAAGGCAAGAAAAGAAACATGTTTCTGCCGCTGCTTCTGCGACTAATGATAGCAGACATTAACTGTGAGCTACATGTCTATGTTTACATTATCCAGATGAAAAGTTAGTTACACCATCACTCTGGTGTATGTGAGTGGTCCAGTCCTCCTTGATGTACTGGTGGTAGGGGTCATTCGAGTGCTCCCTCCTTTTGGATTTGACTGTGCTCACCAGCATGGCCACAATAATGAAGGCAAACATGCCAATCATCACCGCCAGATACCAGATGACATCCCTGAAGTTCTCCTCGGCCAGCGTCTTGTCCAGAGCGTCGGCTGATGCAGTGATGTTATGTGTCCAGTTGTCCAGGTATTGACCCAAAGCGCTGGTGAGGGACGCCTCCAGATGAAGAGTCAAGTTGGACAAATCAGACATGCTGATCTAGTTGGAGGGACAGCATAGGTAGGAGGTTTTTTGTTGTCCTTTCCATAAAGTTTTATACTAATTTTGCTTGTCTGTGAAGATATTGTGATTGAACTGCATCTAAATTTTTATCAATATTACAGAAATTAAACAAGTGCAAACAGGTGTACAAGCATAAAAAAGGAAGACATTTATGAAATGTAATTTTAGTAAACACCAATAATAGACATTATTTTTAGAGAAATTATCATAAGAAAACAATCAGTGACCACATTTTCCTGAGAAAATATAAAATAATTCAGCAACTAAATAAGCAACAATACAGTTTAAGTCAGTAAAAAGGACCTTAAATATTTTCTGTTCACTGTTCCTCGAGAGTTTAACGCTCAACTCAGTTTGTTTGCTTTGCCTATTGCTCCACTATAACTTGATCAGAAGAATTTTAGAATGACTGTCATTAGATTCTGATTAGATTGCTAGGCTGTACACTGAAATATAAGATTTGTCCTTTTTTTTTTTTTTCAAGCTTTCATCCAAAACACTTCAAAAATCAGATAAAAAGCACAGAAGATGTACAAAAACAAGCATTTCTGAAATGTTTTGTGTATACAGGGTAACCCATTTCTCACATTAAGACATCAATTGAGACTATGGTAAGATTTGCCAGCTGTAGAACAGGACTGAGCATTACTGTGATCCAGTATGTGAGTTTTTAAAGCAACAGAAAACAACTAATAAACCTCTAAACACGCCAAATCATCAATGCTTTTTTTTTTTTTTGTTCGGCTTCAAAATGATTTTGTACACCCACTACATTATGATGTACTCTCCCTCAAGGACAATTTGACTTTCAGCCATTATAAAGCAAGAGACAGAAAGATTTAACAGCCTAAATGCAATGTAAGTTTTTGGGGTTTTTTCATAGTGTACCAACCTTTTGCCACGTTTTCAAAGGCCCCATTGTGAAACTGGTCAGGAGATCAAGAAACAGTGGAGCCGTGTTAGAGTTCTGCAGGTCAGCGTGAGCTGCAAAGTCGTTATTTCACTTCCACAAAGGAAAACACAGCCAGTTACAGCTCACAGATTATTTGCAATTTTTATCTTTCCTGCTTGGTTGAACAGCAGGTTTGTGTGTGGCGGGCAGGGAGGAGGTAGGCCCTGATAGCGGGGCACGACCTTGAAAATGTTAGGAAAGAATGCTGATATTTCATCAAGCTGATAAAGAAAAGGGGAATGCTGGAAGTCAACACACATTCACAAGCATTTAAACTTACATTAACGTTTGAATAACAGCAGGAAATAAAGTAACCAGATGTGTTTGAGCATAGCTGTTTATTCACCTGTAATTCCTTGTTTGCCCACAAAGAGGGAGAACAATATGAGGAGACAAAGCAAAGAAAATTTACAGCAGCTCACCCTAGATGGCAGTAGAATGCAACATGTGTAAGAGCTGTCTGGTGCACTTCTAGTTTTTGTTTTGAGATTGTCATATTATCAAATTAACCCAGTTTGTTCTTCTGTTCTGCAAAAAATCAAGCAGGTACTTGGTGAAAAAAGAACTGAAATGGGAGTCACTTTTAGGGTGATTTGTGTGGTATCAGTGTCAGCACCCAGGAGTCATTAGAGATCCATTGTCTTGCTCAAGGACACTTCAGCTTTCTCCCTCTTTGCTGACAAGAATGCATGAAATCCTGTGACTGTTTGACGGGGGGGCGTTGTTTCCCCCCCACAGAGCCACACTGCTGAAGAGGATGACTCCCACCACCGCTGATCAGTCCCAGATCATTCATGTTTGGCTATGAAATCCCAGCAGGTGGACGCTTTGCTGATTTATTTATTGTTTCTCTGTAAAGAAGAACAACTGAAAAATGGAGCAGTATGTACAAAGAGCACAAACACAAAGGGGAAGGATACACACAGACGACAGGAAAATGGAATTAAAAACGAGTGATCCAATTTTACAGCCAAAAGAAGAGGGAAAAGTAGAAAAGCTGAAAACAATAGGAGTAAGATCCTGTAGAGTTTATATGTCTTGCAAAGTGCCTAATCTGTTTTCATAAACCAAAAATATTGCAGAACACAAAGGGAGTGTTAACTACAAATGCAGGGGTGTCCTTGTGCAAAAGCTACAATCTGGTATCTTGTGCAATTAGGAATTTACATGTGCAAATATGATACAGTAAAGAATTGGAAAGTGAACACCAGTCCCCACAGTGTCCCTGGACCTTTTCCTCAGTTACTCTCTCGTCAGTTTTCAAACAGCCTACTGCAGAGTTTTCCCTGTTGGCTCAGTGTGATGAAAGCTTGTTACAACATAACGTGTGCTGAAATGAACTGACAGCAGGGAACCAGAACATCTGATACTTTTCATAATAAGGGATAGGGAGGTTGCATCAGCCAAAAGAGCATCGTCTTCCCTTCTTTATGTATGAAGTGATATCAGCCAGGGCAGCAGAGCTCGGCAGATCAGTCTTTTTTTTTACTACAGCAAAGGTGTAAACACTCAGTATTGTAGCGAATGCAAAGATACAGACAGCTGAGAAGTTAAAAGAAAACTCACCTGAAGTGTTAAAGTGAGGTGTTGGGCTTCCATATGCTGCCAGAACAGTTTCAGTGCACATGTGCGTTGACTCTATAACTACTAAATGGATGGAGTACCAGTCCTCCAAAATATATTCCCTCATTTGGTCTTCTGATGATGGTGGTGGTGCTGGTGCTATCTAACAGATCTGTCCAAGATCTCAGATATGTGTTGAACTCATTGAGATCTGGTGCCTGCAAAGGCCACTGCATATGATGTACATCATTTTAATACTCTTCAGGCCATTCGATGACCCTTCATGCCCCATGGATGCAGACCTGCGATAAAAGTGATCACTCACAATAACTTTGTATTGATTTGCAGTGAGGTTTCCAACTTAGGGGACAAGTGGACCTAACTGGCAAAAAGCCCTCCAATAGAGTGACCAGATCCACTCACTGCAGAGGTCAAGGGTTCAGGTTTATCCTTTAATTTCTCATCCATCTGTATGGATCCAATGCAAACTGCTTACATAGTGAAGGAAGTTTGCCTTTGAGGTGTAATTCAGCATCATCATCTAATTCTAATAAAGCACTCTTTATTAAGGATTTAAGGATGACTAAGAAATGACTATTAGCCAATACACATGCTACTAATGCTTAATAATTCTAAACTATTATTAAGATCAAGTTTAGGCTTAACAGATTATAAATAATCTAGCAATAAAAAGGATTTCCACAAATTAAAAACCCCAGAGTCGTTCTTATTAATGGCTTATAAGTTGTCTATAAAGTCCTAATAAATGGCCAACATTAAAGCAGTTAGTCACAGTTTGGAAACATCTCTAAACTGTGACTTTTTATGGTTCATATCAAAGTTGGAACACTTTGCACTAAATGCTTAGCTTTACACTTAAAATATGTCACAAATCTTTATGTAGAGCAACCATTCTTTTTTTTCAGATCCTCAGAGAATTCTTTGCTATGAGGTGCCATGTTAAACTTCCAGTGAGCAGTATGAGAGAGTGTGGGAGTGATAACACCAAATTTAACACACCTGCTCCCAATTTACACCTGAGACCTTGTAATATTAATGAGTCACATGACACCTGGGAGGGAAAACGGCTGATTGGGCCCAATTTGGACATTTTCACTTAGGGATGTACTCACTTATATTGCTAAACATTAACGGCTGTGTATTCAGTTATTTTGAGGGGACAGTAAATGTACACTGTTAGACAAGCTGTACACTGACTACTGTACTTGTGTCACTTCTTTAGTGTTGTCCAATGAAGAGTTATAATAAAATATTTGCAGAAATGTGAGATACTGTATCCATTATTTTTTTTTAAGCTCCACTGTTTCTGCAGCCTGTTCAGCACCTGAACACTGGTCATTTATATAATCAGGAATTTCTGAAAACAACCAGAACATTGCATGCACTTTCATATAATAAGTCAAATGTACAATATCCGTTTGGGATTGAGAAGAATGTGCAGCAAGGCCCAAATGAAGCAATTTTTTTGAGTAATGTAAACTGTGATTAAAAAATAAATAAATAAAAGTTGGAAAGTACAGCTTCCCGTGGGTGTAAATAAGCAAAGCTACGACTTGTGGAACCAGAGGCCATCTGACATAATAACTAGCCTGGCTGGATTAAACGTCAGGGGTCACAGATGGACCAGAACAGCAACGGAAAACCCCAAGGCGACGGTGACATATGCAAAAGAGAGGCCAGTGCTAACACAGCCAGTGAACCATAAACCCCCCCAGCTATGCTTGAATGTTACATAAAGTCTGAAATGCAGATATACACATTGAGCATGTTAAAGCTGCGTCCTGTTACTTTTGCACATAAAGGTTGGATCACACTCACACAAAGGATGTTCTGTTGTCTCATAAAGTGTGTGCATGTGGTTGTTTGTGGAGCACCACGGTTTATAATGTGTACACCTGTTTTCTCTGTTTACAGAAGTCAGCACTGGTGATTGCATAATCATTACTACAGTACAGTCATGAGATTGATGATTTTTCAGTTAGTTGTTTACAGTATTCATTCACCTTTCGTTATCAATCAAAATTGACAGTAGCTAAATCCTTTCCCAGAGCAATAATCAACTTTCAAATGAGTTGTCTACTTTTCAATGCAGTACAAATATGTCATGTTGTAACTTGCTTGTGATGGTTGTTGTCCTCTTTGTCTTTGCTGTTCATTAATTTAGCCTTGAGGAATGACATTGCAGTACTTTTCCATACATACACTTGAGGTTTCTGTCTTACCACTCCTTCATCATGGTGCAGGTGAAGATCACTCTTTCAGTCTCACTGACCTGCTACTAAGGTAAATACGCCTGATCCAAAGACACTGTGGACATTAGGGTTAACTTTTGTGCTGTTTTCATTGCAAGATAATGAGTTTTAACAGAAATGTCAGGGTGAAAATGTTATACACGTTTACAACCCAGATCCTGAAAGAGTTTATCAGTCCTCATTTTGAAGCTAAGAGCCTACATTTAAATCATGTTTTGACAATATTTTGGCTCAAAAGAATGCAATACTTGGCAACTGTAGTGCTCCCAGTTTGTTGATTTTTGCTAGCTTAGACATGCTTGGAATTACTATGTTTTCATGCTCCACTCCTAACTTTAATCCACGCTTCAGACCCAAAACCAAGACCCAGCTGAGTGCATAATAACTAAGAAACAAAGATTGTTTGTTCAACAGCTACGTCCACTCAAAGGAGGGGGGGGAAAAAATAACCAACTGGTCAATTTTGGATCTTTCTTTGATTGCATTCAGGATTTTTCAAATGCAACTGAACTGGTAAAGCTGTGAGAAGAGCCCAAAAGGTTTTCCTGAGACAATGCAGACCAGAATGACAGTTTAATTCATTTAGCTATTTATTTACTAAAGGCTCAGTGGTTGCATAACTTCTCTACACCAGAGCTTATTTGCAATTGGAGAAGTCCTGTCAACAGCTTAACAGAAGTTTCTTTATAATTGTGGTGTATGGGGGAAAATGCTTTTCGGCCTATAGGGAATTTTTTCTTGTTGTTGTTGCAATACCGTATAAATCTCTCTTAATACATCCATTGTTTCTCAACTACTGAAACAAAACCAGGGGAAATTCCTGTTTCACTCTCCATTGGTCCAATAAAACTGTTCCACATGTTGATCACATGATTTTAATAAATTAGTCTGTAATGACACAGCAAGTTGAGAGGAATGCCGATAAGCAATGAAGAGGACTTCATTCATTTGTAGTGGTGGTACATAGAGAAAGCAGTCAGTTGGAAATCGTTCCGCATGGAACTGCCGATGGGGCCTTTCACTTGTGACCGTGAAGCTGTGGATGGGTAAGGCAACAAAACGGCAGGGACTGTCATAAAAAATAAACATAAAGCTGTTAAACATAGAGGAAACAGGTACAATGATGATGCT